GCCTGCTTCTCCCTCTGACCCTCTCCCCTCTCATGCTGTTTCTCTCTCGCTCGCTCTCTAAAAAATAAATAAAATCTTTAAAAAAAAAAAAAAATTAAAAAACTATGCATCAAAGGACACAGTCAACAAAGTTAAAAGGCAGCCCATGGAATGGGAGAAAATATTTGCAATTCATGTATCTGATAAGGGGTTAATGTCCAGAATATATTAAGAACTCCTACAACTCAACAACAGAAAATATCAACAACTCAGTTAAAAATGGGCAAAGGGCTTGAATAGACATTTCTTCAAACATGATAAGCAAATGGCCAGTAAGCAAATGGTGAAAAGATGTTTAATGTCACTAATAATTAGGGAAATGCCATCAAAACTATAATGAGATATCACCTCACACCCATTAGGATAGCTAATACTAAAAAAAACAAACAAAAAATAACAAATGTTGGTGAAGATGTGGAGAAATTATAACTCTGATGCACAGTTGGTGGGAATGTAAAGTGGTAAGCTGCTATAGAAAATACTATGGTGGTTCCTCAAAAATTTTAAAATAGAATTACCATATGATCCAGCAATTCTACTTCTGGGTGTCTATCCAAAAGAATTGAAAGCAGGATCTTGACAAGAGACTTGCACACTCGTGCTTATAGCAGAATTATCCATAATAGCAGAGGTGGAAGCAATCTAGGTGTCCCTAGATGGATGATTAGATAAGCAAAATGTGATATATACATACAATGGAATATTATTTAGCATTAAAAAGGAAGGAAATCCTAACACCTGAATGAAGACCTTGAGGACATTATGCTAAATGTAATAAGTCAGTCACAAAAAGACACTGTAAGATTCCACTTATATGAGGTATGTGAAGTAGTCAAATTCATAGAAACAGAAAGTAGAATGGTGGGTGCTGGGGTGCTGGGGGAAAGTGGTGAGGGGGAATTGTTATTTAGTGGGCATAGAGTTTTAGTTTTGCAAGATGAAAAAGTTCTAGAACTTGGTAGCACAACAATGTGAATATATTTAATACTACTGAAGTATACACTTAAAAAGAGTTAAAATGGTAAATTTTATGCTATGTATATTTCCCCCCCAATTTAAAAAAATGTGAATAAAAAGTGAAGGAGAGAAAGAAGACTAACATGGTATAATCCCAGTGGAAACTGAAAGTGTAGAATATTTTTAAAGGAAGTGGAAAGGACCTCCCATTAAGTATCTCTCCCATGTCAGATGCTTTGCATAGTGTATCTCATTTAAAAACCAGTGTTTTAGTTCATTGATTACTTAGCTTAATTAATTGATTTTGTGATTCATTTGCTATTTCTGACTTTGAAAAAAAGAAACTGACTCTGCTCATTTTTAAGTTAGATATAAATCAAGGTGAAATGTTATGTTTTAACTTCCCTTATCTCTTTTTCTTCCTATTTACCAGGTTGGAGGGGTACTTTGTTAGGTATTGCTATGGCTACAGTGAATGCTATGATCACAGAATATGGCTGTAGTTTGGAAGACATTATTGTTGTACTAGGACCTTCAGTAGGACCTTGCTGTTTTACTCTGCCAAGGGAATCAGCAAAGGGATTTCATAATCTTGATCCTGAATGTGTACGGTTATTTGATTCACCAAATCCCTGTGTTGACATTCGTAAAGCCACCAGGTATGTTTGATTTCATTCCAGAACTGCAAGTTTGGTTATTGCTTATTGTTTCTAAAATGAAAATTATTTTAGACAACAATTAGTAACTCCAAGAAAAATTGAGGTGGCGAATAAATAAGTAGCTGACATACACATATATATAAAAACTTATTTTGATTATGAAATAAATTCTCATCTACATTTGACTAACAAATTTTCCTGTTATCTCTTAATTGACTTTAAAGTGAAGGAAGATATATTTGGCATATAGTTTTGAGAGATCTACTTAAACTTCATATAGAAAAGTTGCATGTACTTCATAGCCCTTCTTCAGCTAAAATCTCTAATGTAATAAACTATCAGGAAGATGATATTTTAAAATTATTTTTATTCTCTAATTAACTAGAGGAATATATTTCTTAGCAAAAATGTTAGATAATATAAGCACATAGTCACTTTCAAGCTTTTTATGGTCCCTTTCAATTTTGAATTATGAAATTTTGCTATTAAAAGCCATTATTTGTCTTTTCTAAAAAAGAAAATTGTCTGATCTGAATTGTGTTTCTATTCGTCAACAAAACCTTGCCCAGATTCTGCATGATTTAGCACATAAGTAGAAAGAATTGAAGTTGATTCTTAAATGTAACTTGTGGAAATAGTACCACTAATTTATAGTCATATTTCATATTGTAAAGTGTTACGGAGAAGCAACTTCTCTGTGAAAAATTTTTTAATAGGAGGACAAGAGATGGGAAGGCCAAATGACTAAAAAGCATGCTCTGTCTGAACCAAATGAATCTTTCTGCAAATACCCTGGTAACTTTAGAAGTTTCTTCTAAATAAGTACTTGATTTTGATTATAAAATTCTGTACCCAGGTCATGTCTGCAGGACAATATAGAAGGTTTTACAGTTCATATATGAACTTAGATTAATGGTGATAAAATCTTCCATTTCTTGACTTTTTCATGTTTTATATCTGTAAAACCAATTTGCATTGTTTCAAGCAAATCTTTCCCAGAATTCTTTTACACCAGTATCCATATGTATATATTTTTTACTGCTTTGGCTATTGGTAAAATAAACTCTTGGTATCTTTTGCAAAATCTTTATCCTAAGGATTCTTCTAGAACGGGGAGGAATTCTACCACAGAATATCCAGGACCTGAACCAAGATCTTAACCTCTGTACATCCTGCCATCCTGACAAGTTTTTCTCCCATGTCCGAGATGGCCTTAATTTTGGTACACAGATTGGCTTCATATCAATTAGAGAATGAGGTACAGTAGGTTCTTTCTCTCCCTTTACTTCTCTCCTTCCTGTTTCCACCTTTCCCTCCCCTCATTTTTAAAAATAACTAATTATATTTAACTTTACCCCTTTATTCTTGGAGGAAGAATTAAGTTTCTACTTTTTAGTGAAGCAATAGAGGTAGAAAAGTTAATTTTTAGGGGCATGCTCTAATATAAAGAATAGCCACTCCTTTTCCTAGTTAATCAAGAATAATCAGGCCAGCATATAAAAATAAAAATAAAATCGTTTATTTAAAAAATCCTGTATGTATACCATTTATCACCTATGTACTTGACATCAGTATATTTCCTATCATAACACCTTTATACCTTTCTTTTTTATTCTTTTGATTTTTGAGAAGAAATCTTTGCATAAAGATTTTAAATTCTAGGATAATAAAAAGTCCTCACATATCCAAACTGGCTTGGTTTTCAACTAGATTTGCAACTGATTATCTATAGCAAGGGTTGGCCAATTTTCTTTAAAGGGTAGATAGTAAATATTTTAGGCTTTGTGGTACATACAGTCTCTGTCTCAACTACTTAGCTTTGCCATTATAGAGCAAAAGCAGATATAACAACACAAACAAGTGAGTTTGACTGTGTTTCAATAAAACTTTATTTATAAAAAACAGGTGAGGGGCCAGGCAGGTTTGGCCCACAGGCTATAATTTGCTGATACACGATCTGTAGTCATTGAGTAAGACTGAGTATAATTTCATTAAATTAGTATTTATTTCAGATTTTTTTTAGTTATACAAAAATATTTCATGACAGTGATTTAGTGCTGACCCTTTAGCATATATCTAATTTTCCTTAAGTTTACTCTTAACTGAATTAATATTATTTTTAATCTTCACAATGTCTTTAACTCTTTAATATACAAAAGACTTTAGTAGGCTTAATGATCCTTACCTTGATATTATAATAGCACTAGTAAGAATCTTATATTTGTTTTCTATGTATTTTTACAGATACTTGACTGGATTTTTATACAACTATTTCTTGCCTCCTTCTAAACTGACTACAAGAGAGAAATTTAGCTGTTTGATTTACTTAAAACCAAAAGGATTACAATGGATAATTCATCTTTAGGTATATTTTCACTATTCTCCAAAGCCAAATGACTTTCACTTGATTCTAGTAAAATCTAGATGAGGATTATTCTTAAAGTTTGTTCTGTTTGTTATATAAATCAGGAATAGGTCTCTTCAGTTCATTATTTACTGGGTACACCCTATTTGTCAGGCATTGTGTGAAACATAAGTGAATCAAAGTGAATAAGACCTTTTCTCCTTGAGTCTAATGCAGTGGAGGAGATAAACACTTATAATACTTTAATTTTGATAGCAGTGGAAGAGTACAGAAGAAGGAAGGGTCGGGAAAGTGCTATAGAGAAAATGATATATCACATGGGCCCAAAAGATGTACAGGCCTTTGATAAATGAAGAACAACCACAACAGGTAGAGGGAACACCATGAACTAGGGCATGAAATTGAAAGTGTAAAACATGTTCTAGAGAGAGAAGGGTGTAGGCAGAAGTTACTAGAAAAACAGGTTGGAAAGAGATTAGTTAGTCTCAAATGCCATGTCAAAGAGTTTAGAGTTGATTTTCTGGATAAAGAGTAGGCATAAAAAGTAGAGGAGTGTTTTTATTTCCTTAGCGTCATTTGTAACAGGATGGATTTAAATTGTGAGAGACCAAAGCAGAGCGACTTTTTTAAGAGGCAAAATACTTTAAAAAGAAACAATGAAGACAGTGGAATTAAGATGGAGGAGAGTAGATGAAGAGACATTTCAGACATAGAATCAGTAGATCCTCTTAATAAATAATGAAGATGACAGGTGAGGAAGAGTGGAGAAGTCATTGATGACTCCAAGATTTCTGCTTGGTTGACTATTAACAACAGCAAAAAGGGGAAGGAAGATGTTTGGGAAAAGGGAGAAGAATAATGAGTTTGACATGCAGACTGAAGTATATCCAGATGGAAATATTTGGTCAATAACTAGAAATACAGACGTCACATCTTGGTGGGAGCTGGGAGAAAGATATAGATTTAGAAGTTGGCTATGCAGAGATGAGGCCTGAATCTGTTGGAGTAGGCTGAATCATCTAGACAGAACTACAGGGTGAGAAAAAGGAGGTTCAAGTGTGAAACCTCATACAACACCTACATTTGAAGAATAAGAAGCTGAACCAGTAAAAAAAAAAAAAAAAAAAAGATGAATCATTAGAAATAAGGAGGGAAAAAACAGAGTATACTTATTTTGAAGAAAATAGCCAGTATGAATGTGAGAGGTACTCAGAATTTCCAGAGATACAAGGTACAAGAAATTTTCAGAGATAGAATAAAATGAGGACTGAGAAGGAAGCCAGTGGATTAACCATATCAAAGCTGTTCTACAAGCAATGGTGGCAGAGTCTGATTTCAGTGCATTGAGGAGGAGGATGCATAAGTGTCCTCTCTTCTTTGATAGTATTTACTAGAGAAAATAAAGTACTGGGGGTTGTATCTCAAAGGAAGGGGTATTTTTTTTTTTGATCAGTACTTTTAAGTATATTTGTAGGCTGAAGAGAGGAGTCAAGCTGTTTTCACTTGGGAGAAAATGGTGTGACATGTAATATATGACATGTTATTTTTAATGTGAGTAGTTATATTGCATCTTAAAAAATTTTCTTATTATACATTTGTTTCTAACTGAACATGTAGTAGAATAATGCAAAATTACGTTTGTTAGGTATTTACAAAGGACTTTTACATACATTATCTCATTTTACCTTTATAGCTACTCTGAAATACATAGGTCAGTTGTTACTCTTTTTATTCAGGTGAGAAAGCAGTCTCGTTGGAGCTTAAAATCATATAATTTGTGGTAAAATAAGATTTGAACCCATATCTTGTGACTTAAAATCTCATTTCAGATTTTATAGTTAATCAAAGCTATCTAAGTTAATTTTTATTTTCAACTTTTTGTTAATATCATCCATTCATACATTCAGCCAAAATTTTGTTGAGATACAAGGATAGGTTAAAAAAAATATAGTCGTAGCCTTTCAGATGTTTAATATCTAGTGAAAGGTGGCAGTCAGTAAACCAGCAATTTCAATACTGTGATTTATGTTGTACAGCTGTCACAACCTGATACCTTATTTAGTTGAATTCTTCTATGCAACTCGTAGCTCAGTGTAAAATTTAAATAAAATACCTCATTTCTTCCAGTTGGCGAAAGGCATTAAACAAAACATAGGACAATAATTTCAAACTCATGCAAAAAACTTTTCTGTTTAATGATAACTATAAAGATAAAGAATAATTTCACACATTTAGAAAGGTTGATAATTTTCCAGTTCTGTGCATTATTTTTTTGAAGTTTACAAATCTACAGGAGTATTAGGTGGCTGGGGCACCTGGGTGGCTCAGACAGTTAGGTGTCTGCCTTCTGCTCAGGTCTAATCCCAGGGTCCTAAGATTGAGCCCCATGTTGGGCTCCCTTTTTAGCGGGGAGTCTGCTTCTCCCTCTGCTCCTCCCCCTGCTCGATCGTGCTCCCTCGCCCTCTCTCTCAAATAAAATCTTAAAAAAAAAAAGAGTATTAGGTGGCCATATTTCACTTTATGTACCAAAATATTCTAAAACCAAATAAAAATTACATTTGATTATCTGTGATTTTAGATTATCTGCTTCAGAGTATTTAATGAAAAGTCTCCTTGCTGTTTTACTGAGTGAAAAATACAGATTCATAACTCAGAAACATAATGACTAGGTTGTTAAATCATCATATCTTATTATCTCTATAAGATCTCTGTCACTCTCAAGCATTTATATATAGGTTTCTGGGACTTTGGGGGTACAATCACAATGATAATTTTTATTTTTAGTAAGTTTTGTTTTCAATCTAAGCACTGCTACTAACTGCATATAGGAAATATTGGTTGTCGTTTTATTAAGAAGAGGAATTAAGTTTGTAAATCAGATAAGAGTTCATGACTTGATTATTTTGGAGGTACTAAGTATCAAACTAAAATTTAATTGTAATTTTAAATTGTGAATAATAGCATAGTGACTAAATATGCTATACTACAGTGCTTTATAAAACAAATTAAAGAAGTGATCTTTCCACTAGGAGGCAGTATTTCTACAAGTAGCTCTGCTCTGTTTCTTGATATAAAGTTGAACCAATCTATTCTCTGTATTTAGTTATACCAAAAAAAAAAAAGGAGGGGCATTTAAACTTAATGAATGTATTGGTCCTACTTTATATGCAAATATCTTGTAGTTCAAGTATATAAAAGCATTTAGGAACCCTCACCCACCTGGAACTATCTCACTTCTACAGAATCTCTAGTAACTCTTTCTATAAGTAGATTTTTGGGGGAAAAATTCACAGAAGCTTATTCTGTGACACATGACAAAAACATAAATAATACCCACCAATTCAGAAGCTGAAAGATAAGATGTCAGTTACATATGAATTATATCATTTTATATCCCAAAATGGATTTGATATGGTTTTCACTTGGTTGTCCTAAAGTTATACTTAGAATATATCCATCCTACTTTTTTGTGAACTCTTAGAGAATGCCACCAGCCTATGGAAGTTCAGGCTTTCAAGAAAGCACTGCTCAGTTATCTATGTGTTTGTGTGTGTGTATGTGTGGATCTGAGTGTTCACGCTAAATGGCAAGCAAGAAATCTGTATGTGTTATATATGATACATAGCCTCTGCCCTAAATGTAAATTCACACAAAACATATTGGATGCAGTGGAATTAATAGATTTCTTTCTATAAAGTTTTTGTAAATTGTGCAGTAAAGAGTGGGAATCATGGTTTGTGTGCTTACTGTATATGTTTATGGGAACTGTGGTCTGGCGCACCTACGTTTCCATTGTAGGCAGTGTTTTAAAACTTGTGATTTCAGAGACGGGGCAACTGCTGCAAATAATGCATTATTCTGTGCTAGATACTTGCTTAGTGAAGGAATTAGAATCTGCCAGTACTACTTTTTCCAGGTTAACACATTTAGTTTGGACTCATGATGATTGCATGTCAATTTTGTGGAGACAGACTTTTCCTACTCTCCTTAGATGCATTTTTTTTTTTTAATGGAGAAATAAATGCTTACATCGTATTTCCCGAGTCCTTGTGCCACATGCCGGTGGTAAACTATGTCTTTTCTAAATCTGGAGCAGGCTTTTTGTTTTATTTAATTCTCAGAAGGCTGGGGTGTTCAGTTATGTATTTTATTAAACAACTAAAATTTCCAGCAGACTCTTTAGCTCAGAATGTCACATTCCTTTCTAACAACAACAACAAAAAGAGTATTTTCATTTCATGAGAAACATTTGTGGAAAATAGATTTGTTAATGGTAACAATTGAGTTTTCCATTTTCTTAATTCTTAGTTTTGCATTGCACGTTGCTTCAATTTATATCTTACACATACTTCCCTATTCCTTTACTTTCCTTAAGTACGTTTTAGAGTTATATTTTCTTATCCCCCATCATCCTTGTTTTCATAATTGATGTTTCATATTCACAAGGTAACTTAATTCTTTCAATTTTATACTTTCAAGTACATATTCAGACTTGGGTATAAAAGTTCCTTGTTGGACATATCCTATGGGCCCCTCAAAACAATATCCTCCAAGTTACCATTTTCCCTCCAAAATTTGTTCCCCTCTCATGTTCTATCTCAGAGAATGAAATCATTTTCCATGAAGTTGCCCATCCAAAAATCTTAGAGTGTTTCTGAATGTCTCTCTTTCCTTCACCTCTTCTTTTCCTATGCTTCTACCTTTGTAAATCTATCATCCATTCCTGTGTCTCTGTCACAACTGCCAGATATTCAGATCATCATGTCTCATGTGCATCATTTGAGCAGCCTTCTAACTAGTCCTTATTGAATCCCTTCTTTTACTGCTATTATTGATTATTCTAAAATGCAAGTCTGGTCATATTACATCCCTCTGAATTATTTTATGGCTTTTCCACTGTCCCCAAGATAAAGACCTGCTCACTGGCTTTTATAAGTGCTATTATGATCTCATCCCTGCTTACCTTTTCAATTTCCACCATTATATCGATATCACATATTCTAGCCATTCTGCATTTTTTTCATTTCCTAGAATATACATTAAGCTAGGTCAGGTCACAAAGGTTGGTTTGCAGTCAAAGATAGACTAGAAGTCAAATTAGATTTAAGGTTACTTTCACTTAGGCTTTCTACTGAATTAGAAAACAAGCAGCACCAAGAACATATAATATAAACACCTAGGTGAATGGATATAGCACTCCAGTGTTCCCCTAGTTCCTTAGGGAGATATGACCAAAATTCAGTTGTCAATGTAGTATATTATATATTCAGTGAGTGGTATGCCGGTCATATATAGAAGAAGCTCAGTAGTTTTTGTTCCATTAGGCAGGGTGAGGGGCCATGTTAATGTTCAAAGTCTGCCTTCTACCATATAACAAAATTTTGCTGTATCTAAACATGAGTAATTTTTTTTGGATGTCATTGGGTTCACAGCAGGTCTTACCATTATCTTTCATAGTGGTGATTTATCTTGCCTCCTGGCTTTGTACCTATTGCTGGCTCTGTGTGCATAGTTCTCAAACTCATTTTTCTTGAATAACTCATAACCATTCTTTAAGGCTCAGACAAGTGGTCTCTCTTCCAGAACATTTTCCTTGGTCATTTTCCTCACTAGCATCCTGTGCATCACTTTTTATAGTCCTCAGTGTACTCATTTTTAAATGTTCTGTTTACTTGTCTACTAGTAAATGTAAGCTCCGTCAGAGTAAGGACCAGGTCTTACTCATTTGCTAGATATTTTTAATATCTAGCAAAGATTAACACATTGTAATCACATATCTATAGAAGGAAAAAAGGGAGGGAGAAGGGAAGGAATCTTTTAATGATCCAATACAAAGTCCAAAGATAAAGATTATAAAACATTTTGGCGGGGGGAGTGTGTGTGTTGTCATTTTTTACCAAGTAGTTTTCTATCTTCAATATTTAGTTGAATTTAAATAATTGTGATACATTAATGTCTTTTTGAAGAACATCTGTTTTAAAGTGTTCAGCCATGTTTCTTTAAAGAAAGAACATCTGTTTAATGTGTTCAGCCATGTTTCTTAAAAACATTGGAATTTCTGGTTTCCAGTTTGTATAACAAAAAAAACATTAAATTATTGCCTTAAAATACGTGTCTTCAGGATGCCTGG